CAGCGCTGAAAAAGGTTTGAAGCTTGCGATTATTTGCATGCGTGGGATAAGATGCCAATAGGCGACACGAGATGTGATTAATATATGTATGGCCTATTCTGAATCACTTGATTGCTGAAAATGATATTATTATACGCTTTCGGCTGCATCATCCCATACGTCAACCTTTGCGGCCATTATTCTCTCTGTCTCGTCCACTTTCATGCACCCTTCGCTTCCTACAATACAATCTTCATCCCCATCTTCATTTTGTAACACGCTTTAATTTTATGTCCCGTTCTGATATTTATAATTTATATTTTATATTTTATATTTTATATTTTATATTATTAATTATTTGTTATTCACATTTTATTATTAACAATATTTAATATGTTTTATTTAATTAAGCATACATTTAATAAAATAATTAAAATTTACATAAGAAAAGGTAATTCATTTGATATTAGTTTAATTATTCAAACATTATATTTAACGAAAAGAAAAAGTAGAAAGTTAGAAATATAATACTATATATGTATGTATGAACGATGATTGATAAAATACTAAACAAACAAATTTTAAGTAAAGAAATTATCACATTATGTTAGAATTTTTTTTAATTTATTATGTAATTTTCATTATGTAATGATTGTTATGAAATTATCTTTTTTTTTAGAGATTTTAAATTACGTTGCTTTCACAACACAATATTTGGTTCTCATACAATTAATGGTTTAGAGAGCACTAACCTGAATCTATTGTTCCTTGATGTTACCTCTCTCTTTGATGTCGTTGATCCCTTGGTATTTTTCCTAACTCTTCCTTCCTCTATATTTAACCACCATCACATTAAATTATTAATTAGAGTCATGCTATAAGTTACATAGGCCACTATAATAAGATTATTAAAATAATCTAACAATCTCTCACTTGGCCTATGTGACGACTTGAAGATTCAATGAACTTTAAGTGCGCATATCATTGATAATATCAAGTCATCATCTTTTAATGATTTAAGTTAATCGGATCATGGCGGTCACAAGTCATTTGACGACATGATTCCTTTCAAGTATCACAAAACCAACTCAAATCAAAACAGCTTTAATCAGTCATACTACAGATTGTAACTCTGATGTGTTTTTAACACTCAATCTGTTATCAAACTCAAACCATACATGTACATTAACACAATTCAGATAACAAGCAAACAAGCAGAAATAATACTTTTATTGAATTTCCAAAATATCTACAATAACATGAGGAAAACAATCTATACACATATATATGAATCACACAATCATGCTAATAAAGACTTGTCTATAATGCCCATTCTACCAACATGGCTAGAAAATGTTTTAGGGGGCAATCCCTTAGTTAGCGGATCCACTATCATTAAATTAGTACCAATATGCTCAATAGACACTTTCTGTTTCCACACTTCTTCTTTCACTGATAAGTATTTTAAGTTCATATGCTTTGCTCCCTTTGAATACTTATCATTCTTAGAGAAGAAGGCTGCGGAATTATCACAGTACATTCTCAGCTACTTTTCTATATTATCAACAATACCAAGCCCTAAGACAAAGTTCCGCAGCCACAAAGCATGAATAGTGGCCTCAAAGCATGCTACAAATTTCGCTTCCATGGTAGACGTAGCAATAATGGACACCTTTCCGCTCTTCCATAAAATCGCACCTCCAGCTAACAAGAAGATGTAGCCAAAGGTCGATTTCCTTGAGTCTACACATCCAGCATAGTCTGAATCTGAGTAGCCAACCACTTCCAGTTGACTAGATCTCCTATAAGTAAGCATGTAGTCCTTGGTGCCTTGTAAAAACCTAAGGACTTTCTTTGCAGCCTTCCAGTGGTCCATTTCGGGATTACTTTGATATTGGCCTAACATTCCAACAGCAAAACTGATATCAGGCTGAGTGCATGTCTAAGCATACATTAAACTCCTGACCACTGATGCATAGGGAATAGATTCCATTGCTTTCTGCTCCAACTCATTCTTCAGACATTGCATTTCACTAAACTTGTTTCCCTTTTGAATTGGAACTACCCCTGATGAGCACTTTTCCATTTTGAATCTTTCTAATACTTTGTTGATGTAGACTTTCTGAGACAATCCCAGTAATCCTTGTGATCTATTATGGAATATTTCTATTCCTATCACATAGGAAATCTTAACCATATCTTTCATCTCAAAGTTCTTAGAGAGAAATTCTTTTACATCATGCAACAGCCCAACATCATTACTAGCAAGAAGAATGTCATCAATATACAGGACTAAAATGATGAACTTACTCCCACTGACCTTCATATAGATACACCGGTAAACAGTGTTCTCTACAAAACCATATGAAGTGATGGTATCGTTGAACTTAAGATACCATTGTCTGGAAGCCTGTTTCAACCCATATATTGATTTTTTTAACTTACACACCATACTTTCTTTACCTGTGGTCAAGAAGCCATCTGACTGATTCATATAAACTTCCTCTTCCAAGTCACCATTCAGAAAGGCGGTCTTTACATCCATTTGGTGGAGCTCTAAGTCATAATGAGCCACCAAAGTCATAACAATTCTTAAAGAGTCCTTCTTTGAAACTAGATAAAATGTCTCTTTATAGTTTATGCCATCCTTTTGAGTGCATCCTTTAGCAACAAGTGTAGCCTTGTATCTCTCAACGTTGCCTTTTGAGTCACGTTTGGTCTTAAAGACCCACTTGCAACTGACTCGTTTTGAACCTTCAGGCAGCTCGACCAGATCCCATACCTTGTTGTCACTCATTGATTTTAACTCTTCTTTCATGGCATTCAACCACTTTTCAAAATTGTAACATTCCATGGCTTGCTTAAATGAGACTGGATCCTCATCAATACTCAAGTCACATTCATGCTCAAGTGAGTAAACCACATAGTCATTCAAAATAGCCGGTCTTTTCTACCTTACAGACCTCCTTAATACTATCTCTTGTGGTTCACCTTCCTCTTGCTCACTTGTAACTTGCGCATTTTCAGCTGGTTCATCCTCTATATGTTGTTCTTGTGGGTTTGGAACATTAACTTGTTGTCTCCTTATGTTGTGTGACCGTGATACAACAAGAGGAACAACAACTGGAGAAGAGACACCAACTACAGGAGTTTCTGCATGTGTCTCTTTAATTTCCACCTTTCGTGTTTCACCACTCCCACTAAACTGACCATTTTCAATGAACCTTGCATTTCCAGACTCAACTATTCTCATACTATGGTTAGGATAGTAGAATCTGTACCCCTTTGATTTTTCAGGATAGCCGATGAAATAACCACTTATGGTTCTAGCATCAAGCTTCTTTTCATGTATACACTCTTACTTCTGCTGGACAACCCCAGACATGAAGATGTCTTAAACTGGGTTTCTTTCCTGTCCACAGTTCATAAGGAGTGATAAATGCTTTCTATACTTGATCCTACATTGTAATTCATGAATGATAATTGAGAGTTTTAAGCTATTCATTGAGAAAATTTACTATTATTAATTTCATTTTATTCATATTTCAGAAAAAAAGAGCTTAAAAGATATTAGGAATTGAAACACACAAAGAACCAGAGATATACATGGGCAAGTACACGCCCGTGTATATGAGCGTGTATCTCACTGGTCACGTCAATTGAAGTGTATCATTAAAATCAGAGATGTACACAGTTAAAGTACATGGTCGTGTACATGGGCGTATACTTTTCAAGAAAGCTGTGAAGTACAATTTTTAGAGATCAGAGATGTACGCAGCCAAAGTACATGGCCGTGTACTTTTAACGTGCGTTAGAATTTAAATTTCTGCGAGAAGATGAGCCCTTGGGCTACTCATATAAAAGAGAACTTGGCATAGAAACCTAGGGGACACGGTTTTGAGGAGAAAAAAAGACTCAGAGACGGCTGGAGGAAGGGATCAAGCACTTTTATTCATCTCTTTTGTACTTTTAGTTTGAAGATGTTTAGGTTCCAATTTTTCTTTGAGTATCTAGACGTAATGAATCTTAATTGACCAAATTTTCTGGAGTTCTTCTAATGGTATTTCATGTTCTTTTCTCTTGGGTTTAATTGAGTAGTATCAATTGTCTTCCATCTTGTTTTCTTGTTTGAATTTGAGTAAAATTCCTGCATGAAATTAACATTGCTCAATTAAAAGGACTTGAATGTATTTCTAGAGATAGAAAGATGTAAGTTTTCTGTATTAGGATTAACCCTAATTATGGAATTCATAATGAACTTAATGCAACCTAGGGGTATTAATTAAGGAAGAGATTCTGATTGATCAACCGAGGGTTAGGAATCATTATCCTTGAGAAAGGTATTGATTTAATTTAGAATTTTTTGCAGCGATAAGGGTTTGGAACTAAGTAGTTGAAGAAGAATTTTAGTTATTTGGACACTTAGGAGGATTTATAGTCTAGATACTCGTCTTTTCCCCTTGAATACCTTTAGTCATACTTTTCTATAATTTATTATCATAAGAAATCTGTTCCTTTTAATTTATTATTCTTCTATTTTTAGTAATTTTATCAACAACAATTTATTTCTCATATTCATTAACAATTGCGTAATTAAGGAAGTAGTTATTAATAACAGTCCTTGTGGATACGACACTTGGTACTCTATTTTTCATAATATTACTCTGACAATGGGTACACTTGCCAAGTAATCAGTTTTTACACACCAAGTTTTTGGCGCCGTTGCCAGGGACTAGTCATTTAGGATTTCTTTGATTACATCTTTACTAATTTTCTTTATTTCTTCAATCTTAAATTAACTTTTCTATTTTTATTTATTATTATTATTATTATTATTGTTATTATTATTTTATTTTATTTTTGCTTTTATTATTTTTTAGGAGCTGATTTTTCTGGTGCATGACCAGAACCCTGTTATATTATTCGAACTTGATCCAGAAATAGAGAGAACTTTGCGAAAAATTTGGAAAGAGAGACGACTGCTAGTACAGAAGGAAAACACACAAAACCACATGGAAGGAATGGCGAACAATGAAGATCAACCAAGGACCATGTTTAATTATGCTCGTCCATCATTAACTAAAACAAAATCTAGCATTGTCCGTCCGGATGTGCAGGGAAATTTTGAAATAAAACCCAATGTTATTCAGATGGTTCAGCAATTTGTCCAATTTGATGGGTTACAAGATGAAGACCCCAATGCTCACATTGCAAATTTTCTGGAGATTTGTGATACTTTCAAGATTAATGGAGCTACTGATAATGCAATCCGCTTGAGGCTATTCCCATTTTCTCTCAGGAGCAGAGCAAAACAGTGGTTGAACTCTCTCCCACGAGGATCTATCACTTCATGGGAGGCTATGGCAGAAAAATTCTTGACGAAATATTTTCCTCCTGCAAAAACTGCCAAGATGAGGAATGATATCTCTTCCTTCTACCAATTGGAGTTAGAAACTTTATATGATACATGGGAGAGGTTTAAGGAATTACTACGGAAGTGCCCACATCATGGGATTTTGGACTGGCTTCAAGTGCAAACCTTCTACAATAAGTTGAACCCAGCCATAAGACAAATGATAGATGCTGCAGCTGGGGGCACTTTGAATAGCAAGACACTAAGGGTTGCACAAGAACTGTTTGAAGAAATGGCAATGAACAGCTATCAATGGAGCTTCACACGATCCAAACCTGCGAAATCTGCTGGAATTTATAGTCTTGATGCAGTAACATCCTTGGCAATGCAAGTTGAAGCTTTACGGAAGAAGATTGATGGTTTATCTATTAACCACCTAGTTGCTCCGGTGATGAGATGTGATATTTGTGGAGGAAGCCACCCTAGTCATGAGTGTCGAGCTACTCAGGAAGAACATGCCAATGTGATAGGAAACAAACCACCGTACCAAAATTATAATGGCATGAATGAACCGGGCTGGAGGAACTATACAAACCCACTATGGAACAACAACCAACAGCCAACGCGGAACAACACACCCTCAGGATATCAACAAGCCCCACATCAACTACCACCCCTAGCTGAAAAAAAAGTCAAACCTTGAGGAGTTGATGACCAAATTCATTCAAACTTCAGAATCTCGGTTCCAATCTACCGAGACAGTACTAAGAAATCAACAAGCCTCTATCCATAATCTAGAAATTCAGTTGGGTCAAATTTCTAGACTTCTCTCAGAAAGACCCTAAGGAAGCTTGCCTACAATACTGAGACTAATCCTAGGGAGCAGGTTAATGCAGTAACATTAAGGAGTGGCAGAACATTACAAGAGAAGGGGAAGCAAGAAACAGAAAAAGATGCAGTTGAAGAGGAGGATAAATGTCAAGAGGAGACTGTGGAAAAGCCCCTTGTAGTGAAAGAATTCATACCCCCACTTCCCTACCCAGCAAGATTGAAGAAAGACAAGGATGATGAACAATTTGGTAAATTTCTATCCTTATTTCGTCAACTTCATATTAATTTACCGTTTTTTGATGCCTTGGCACAGATGCCCAAGTACGCTAAATTTCTGAAGGATCTACTGTCCAACAAGAAGAAATTGGAGGAGTTGGCTACAGTAACTCTGAATGAAGAATGTTGTTGTTAGCAATCTAAACACTAGCAAGTGCACTAGTATTGCAGCAAGTAATGAGTAATTTTTAAAATCAGGATATCGTTTCCACAGGGAATTTAGATTTCAAGTATCAATTCACAAATTTATTTTTCCTGTTGATTTTGTGATTCTTGATATGGACGAGGACACTGATGTCCCCTTGATCTTAGGTCGTCCATTTTTAGCTACTGCAGGGGCTATAATTGATGTGAGGGATGGAAAGTTAATTTTGAGAGTTGGAGATGAAAAAGTCACTTTCAAAATTCCTGATGTGATGAAAAAGTCTTTGAAACAAGATGATTCTTGCTACTTTATTAATGTAATTGATGATTATGTTTCTGATTGTGCACAAGAATTTTTTATTTCAAACCCATTGAAAAGAAGCTTAGTTCATGAAGGAGGAAAATATGGTATGAGCTTGCTAACTTAAGAACAGTGGTGTCATTTAGAAGCCACTAAGCCATTATGGAGAAAGAGGGACTTTGAAGTTTTGGAGTGTAAATCAAAGAAGCAACCCAACCCATCCATTAATGAACCACCAGATGAAAAATTGAAGGTCTACCATCATAAAAAAATTGAGGTAAACTATTTCAAAAAGGTGATTTAGTAGTACTGTTGTACAACTCTCACCTCAAATTATTCCCAGTTAAACTCAAATCCCGTTGCTTTGGACCATTTATTGTGCATAAGGTATTTCCTTGTGGTATAATTGAATTAACTCATGCAAAAAAAGGAAATTTTAAGGTGAATGAACATAGGCTGAAACTATACCAGGGGGGTCAACTGCAAACTTATGCAAATGAGGAGTTTAAACTCCTCCATGTTGAATTACATTGAATAGTTCCGGTTAGGTAGGTTTAGTTTGTTTTAATTTAGTTATTTATTTGATCATTTATTTATATTTTGAATAAGCGTCCTCGCCCCCAGCATGAACCCCATTTCCTTCTGACCACTTTCTTAGTATAGATGATGAAGACTCAGATGATGTTAGTGCAGCAGTTTAGTCTGCAATTAGGATAGTTTTAGTTGTTGAATTTTTTTACTTATGTTATTTTTAGGATTTAAATTGTTTTTCTCTGTTTATTGCTTCTGTTTCTTTATCGCATTATTTTGATCATTCTACTCCTCTTGTCATTCTAAACTGAGTTAAATCTCCTTATAAATCAATTTTAATCAGGTTTTCTCTCCAATTGAATCCCAGATTAGCTTTGCTTCCCACGACTCTTTGCTTATTTTTTACTTTTCAGGGAAGTTTCAGTTGCACTTTAATTTTTATATTTGATTGAGGAAAATGCAAATCTTACAATGTGGGGTGGATAATTATAGATGTTTGAACTGAATTGTAGTTTTATTCTCGAGCAATATTGAGTCAATTTTACTGTTGCATTAGAGATGATATTCCTGAAAATATAATAAATAAATAAACATCACATGCAGTTATTCTGGTTATTTGAATTGTGTTTTTAATTGTTTCTCGATTGAAGTATCATTAGACTTTTCTAAATTGAGGACCTTGAATCTATGCCAAATTGTTTTAAAATGTTTGAAATTAATAAAACCAGGAAAATTTGAAAAAAATTGGGGCTCTGCTCAAAAATAAAAAAAGAGCATGCCATAGAAGCATATCTAGTTGAATATGGATTGTAGGCAACGTCCGAATACCACATCGTAGAACCCCGAAATTTTTTGAGGTACTGATGTAGAAAGCAATGGGTGAAATTTCCATTAATACCTTGTGCTAACTGGGATAGAGCATAAAACGCACCCTGTTAGTCGATCATAGCTCAAAGTGAAGAGAATTAAACAACACCTTGTGGAAGGATTCAAAGTTTTGAATTGAATTTTAAGAGCTAATGGTAGAGAGGTCCTTATTCAGTTCTGTCTGAAGTTACAAAGGTTGAGAGCAAAAAGAAGGCATAATTTGATGTTTAAGAATTACTGTCCCTCTAAAAATTTGAAAAATAAAATAAAAATAACAATAATAAAAAATTCAGGAATTTGATTCTTTGTTGTCAAGGGTAAAATTGATCCATTTCTTTGCTTGGGGACAAGCAATCGTTCAGGTTCGGGGGTATTTGATAAATACTTTCTATACTTGATCCTACATTATAATTCATGAATGATAATTGAGAGTTTTAAGCTATTCATTGAGAAAATTTACTATTATTAATTTCATTTTATTCATATTTCAGAAAAAAAAGAGCTTAAAAGATATTGGAAATTGAAACACACAAAGAACCAGAGATATACATGGGCAAGTACACGCCCGTGTATATGAGCGTGTATCTCACTGGTCACGTTAATTGAAGTGTATCATCAAAACCAGAGATGTACACGGTCAAAATACATGGCCGTATACATGGGCGTGTACTTTTCAAGAAAGCTGTGAAGTGCAATTTTTGAGACCAAAGATGTACACGGCCAAAGTACATGGCCGTGTACTTTTAACGTGCGTTAGAATTTAAATTTCTGCGAGAAGATGAGCCCTTGGGCCACTCATATAAAAGAGAACTTGGCATAGAAACCTAGGGGACACGGTTTTGAGGAGAAAAAAAGACTCAGAGACGGCTGGAGGAAGGGATCAAGCACTTTTATTCATCTCTTTTGTAATTTTAGTTTGAAGATGTTTAGGTTCCAATTTTTCTTTGAGTATCTAGACGTAATGAATCCTAATTGACCAAATTTTCTGGAATTCTTCTAATGGTATTTCATGTTCTTTTCTCTTGGGTTTAATTGAGTAATATCAATTGTCTTCCATCTTGTTTTCTTGTTTAAATTTGAGTAAAATTCCTGCATGAAATTAACATTGCTCAATTAAAAAGACTTGGATGTATTTCTAGAGATAGAAAGACGTAAGTTTTCTGTATTAGGATTAACCCTAATTATGGAATTCATAATGAACTTAATGCAACTAGGGGTATTAATTAAGGAAGAGATTCCGATTGATCAACCGAGGGTTAGGAATCATTATCCTTGAAAAAGGTATTGATTTAATTCAGAATTTTCTGCAGCGATAAGGGTTTGGAACTAAGCAGTTGAAGAAGAATTTTAGTTATTTGGACATTTAGGAGGATTTATAGTCTAGATACTCGTCTTTTCTCCTTGAATACCTTTAGTCATACTTTTCTATAATTCATTATCATAAGAAATTTGTTCCTTTTAATTTATTATTCTTCTATTTTTAGTAATTTTATCAACAACAATTTATTTCTCATATTCATTAACAATTGCATAATTAAGGAAGTAATTTTTAATAACAATCCCTGTGTATACGACACTTGGTACTCTATTTTTCATAATATTACTCTGACAACGGGTACACTTGCCCAGTAATCAGTTTTTACACACCAAGGAGTCTTTGGAACTGCCTTACTAGGAACTCTATTAAGCAGATATGCAGCGGTCTTTAATGCGTACATCCACAAAGACATAGGTACAGAACTGTAACTCAACATACTCCTAACCATTTCTATGATAGTACGATTCCGCCTTTCAGCCACACTATTTTGTTATGGATACCAGGCATAGTATACTGTGAACATATGCCTCAACTTTCCAGAAGTTTCGCAAATGGACCTAGACATTGTCCACTTTCATCAGATTTTTCATAATATTTACCACCTCTATCTGAGCTCACAACCGTTACCTTTCTATCCAGTTTCCACCTCATCAATGAACACTTGTAAGACATCCACTGATTGAGATTTTTCATGCAACACATACAGATAACAATAACGTGAGTAGTTATCAATGAAGGTAATGAAATATCTTTCACCACCCCAAGATGGGATGTCAAACGGACTACAAATATTAATGTGTATCAACTCTAAGAGTTGACTGCTTCTTGTGGCTGGATTCTTTGATGTGTGTTTAGTTTATTTTCCTTTAATACAATCCACACATACATCCTAGTCAACAAAATCCAATTGAGGTAAAATTTCACTTTTCATTAACCTCATAATCCTTTCTTTGGATATGTGACCTAACCTTTGATGTCACAAGAAAGCAGAGCATTCATTACGCACATTCAAATTACTACTAACAACATTCTCAACATGAAACAGAGATTCAGCCAATTTAATATTAAGATTGAAACGATATAAACCATCAATTAATGTACCAGATCCAAAATAATACGAGTGTTTATACAAAGAAAAAATTCCGTTTCTAATCTTAAAATTAAAACCAAATTCGTCCAACTTTGTAACAGAAACCAAATTTCTAGCACATTCAGGAACATAAAGGCACTTTTCTAGATCTATGCAGCAACCAGTATGCAAGATCAATCTATAAGTCCCTATTCCTTTTATCTGTGCCTTCATTCTGTTCCCTATGTACAAGAAATTTTCAGTCCGCTTATGGCCTGGATCGAAAGAAATCCTTGCATTACATATGACACATGAGTAGTTGCACCAAAATCTAACCACTAGGTATTTTTAGGTACCTTAATAAGATTTGATTCAAAGCATACTAAAACATAATATATACCTTTCCTTTCAAACCAAACCTTTCTCTTCGGACAATCTTTCTTAAAGTGACCAGTCTTCTTGCAGAAGAAACACCTCTGGCCCTTTTGGATTCGGCCTTCACGAACCTTTAATAAGGCCTTATCCTTATTGTCCTTGTTGTCCTTCTTATCTAGCTTAGGCTTGCTACTACTAGCCCCTTCATGAAATGTGAGATGGACGGAGTGTTCTTTCACCTTTTTCAACCTCCCTTCCTCCTGAACTAGCATGGCCTTAATTTCCTGTATGTTCCATTTATCCTTAATGGTGTTGTAATTCACCTGGAATTGACCAAACTCAGGAGAGAGTGAGTTTAAAATGAACTGTACTAGAAAGAATTCTTTTACCTCCATGCCCATTGATTTCAACTTTGTCGTTTGATTGATCATGTCAGTCATATGGTCATGAATGGCCCGTGACCAATCAAACTTTTTAGTAGTTAGCTCAGTCAACAGGGTG